CTCACTCGCACCAGTGAACAATGACCTGGGAAGTACACGATCAGGTACCTGACCGGTATTGTTTGTTGGTACAAGCTACTGTATTTCCTACTGGTATTACACATTGCACATGTTCTCGTGACTCAGGGGGGCCGTTCCTCCCAATCACTCCTATCCAAGTGTCTCCATCATTGCCCACATGTGCGTTGAAATCTCCCAGCAAGATTAAAGAGTCCCCTTCAGGAGCCCCATACAGGACTCTTTCCAGGGTCTCCAAGAAGGCCGTATACTCTGAACTGCTGTTGGGTGCATAAGCACACACAACAGTCAGAGTTTTCCCCCCCATAACCCGAAGGCGTAGGGAGGCAACCCTCTCGTCCACTGGGGTAGACTCCAACAACGAAGCACCCAACCGGGGACTTGTGAGTATCCCCACACCCGCCCGGCGCCTCACACCTTGAGCAACTCCGGAGAAGAATAGAGTCCAACCCCTATCCAGAAGTAAGGTTCCAGAGCCGACGCTTTGCGTAGAGGTGAGCCCAACCAGATCCAACTGGTAACGCTCCATCTCCCGCACAAGCTCCGACTCCTTCCCCCCCAGAGAGGTGACGTTCCACGTCCCCAAAGCCAGCTTCTGTCGCCCGGGTCTGGTCCGTCGAGACCCTCTGCCTTCACTGCCACCCTTCTGGCAGCGCACCCGACCCCATCGCTGTTTCCCGTAGGTGGTGGGCCCGCGGGACGGAGAAGCGGAGGTGTTGCCCACGTCGCCTTTTCGGGCTGTGCCCGGCCGGGCTCCGTGGCAAGCCCGGCCACCAGACGCTCGCCGACGACTCCTCCTTCTGGGCCTGGCTCCAGAAGGGGACCCCGGGCTTCCTCCGGGCCGGGTATCCTCACTTCGTGTGTCGTCTTTCATGAGGTCTTGTGAACCAATCTTAGTCTGGCCCCTTGCCTGAGACCAATTTGCCATGGGAGACCCTACCAGGAACACAAGGTTCCAGACAACACAGCCCCCAGGTTCATCAGGGCACACAAACCTCTCTACCACGGTAAGGTGCTGGTTCTTCAGAGAGGTTCTGTTTATCAATGCACTAAAAGATCATTCATACACTGTGTGTCCTTTGATCAAAGCCACCGTGGACAGGATTTGTACATTAATGTTAGAGTAAATTGTTTTTGCAAGCTATAGTATAGATGAATTGTTAAAAAACCCAGATATGTGTCTGTGTGTTTTATAGTTGGACCCAGAAGCATACATAGACACCTGTCTCTACCTGTACTGTAGCCTGCCAACCGAAGAGAGGGATTCAGCAGTGTGTGACACCCTGGCCAGCTATGCCAGAGAGTGTGCTCAGCAACATGTCATCATTATCTGGAGGACAGCAACTCTATGTGGTAAAAAAATGTCAAAACATATTAATATGAGCCAGAGTCTTCTTTACAAGACAGTCAGCAGGACACAAGATGCTAAAATATGCAAAACAACATCCTTTAACTTTGTTTCCTACTCATTGCTCTGTCTCTCCAGGTCGTGTCTGTCCCAGAGGTCAGGTGTTTTCAGACTGTGTGTCCTCCTGTCCCCCCAGCTGTGTGTCTCCCCAGCCCCCCGGGCCTGCAGCCATGGGTCAGTGCAGAGAGGAGTGTGTGGGGGGCTGTGAGTGTCCACCGGGACTCTACCTTTACCAGGGACTCTGTCTGAAAAGGGACGATTGTCCTTGTTTCCATCGCAGACGCACCTACCAGTCAGGGGATGAGATACAGCAGAGATGCAACACTTGGTAATTGTCTTTCCTATATCTTTTTTTATTTAGTGATCCAATTTTCTCACTTTCCATCCTTCTCTTTATTCTTTATCATCCCAGTGTCTGCACAGCAGGTCAGTGGCAGTGTACTGGGGAGAAGTGCTCAGCCCAGTGCACCCTGATGGGGGGGCTACAGGTGACCACCTTTGACAAAAAGAGGTATTCACTACAGGGAGGAGACTGTCCCTTCACTGCTGTGGAGGTGAGATACTCAACAAGCAAACCATGCACAGTTAAATACACGATTAGATGAATTTGTGTGCAGCCATTTCTCTTTTGAGCTAATGTTCTGCATTTTTTTAGGACTTTGTTGACAGGAAGCTGGTAGTGACTGTGCGCTGTGGGGAGTGTGCAGCCGGAGGTGGTTTCGGTTGTCTAAAGGAGATGTCCGTCACAGCACTCCGCACCACAGTTATCATCACAGACACTGGTGAGTTGGTTACACACTGCAACCTGACTGTTATCATTTTACATTTGTTCGTAGGGACGGTCAACATGGCTAATATTGACGCCCTTGTCTTCATCATTATAAGTATCTCTCGGAGTTGATGCTTCTCAAATTTGTTTTGATTAATTAAGGCTCAATTGCCTGAAGCAAAATGGTCAACACACACAAAAAAGAGACTCTGAAGTTCCCAAGTTCTTTGGTGCATGTCTCTATCTTACTGTATGCTCTAGCATTTGTTAAATCATCTTTAGGGTGTATTTTCAACTTATTTACTAAAGTAAAACACTTTTCAAATTCAACACACTCGCACCCTGGATGCAACTTCTTCTGAAAAACCCATTTAATTAAATGTAATTATTGAAAGTTACTAACTTCTTTAAACGTTTTTTTTATTGTGAGAATATTTATTTAAATGTTTGTCTTTTGATAGCTTACAGTTGGTATTGTTCCTTCCAGGCACAGTGACATTGAATGGCCAGAGGGAGCCGTTGCCTTTGGTAACGGGGGACCTGGTTGTGCGAAGGGCCTCCTCTTCATTTCTCCTCATCCAGGCTTTTGGAGCACAGCTGCTCTGGCACCTAGATGGACCTTTGGCCATCATTACCCTACAACCTGGCTTCGCAAATAAGGTGAACCTTAACCTAGTATGGTTCTTTCAGTTGTGCCTCTCCCAAATTGGTTGAGACTGCATTTCTGTTACTAAAAACATGTGCAAAAATGGTGTATTCAAGGTGCGCGGCCTATGTGGAACGCTGACCTGGAACCAGCATGATGACTTCACCACCCCAGAGGGAGATGTGGAGAACAGTGTGTCATTGTTTGCGAGCAAATTCACGACAGAGCACTGCGCTCTACCAAAAGGAGCTCCACCTGACCCCTGCACCACATACACCCAGAGGAGACAGTACGCAGAGACAGTGTGCTCCGTCATACACAGCCCCGTCTTTCAGGTAGTTTGCAGTGGAGTGTTTTAAATCTCCGACTATCTCAGGAATTAGTTTATCTTCTGTCTTTATTCACACATGCGTCTCCTTCTCTGATTTTGTAGGTGTGTCACGACGTGGTGGAGCGGGAACCTTATTTCCGTCTCTGTCTGTTGGAGGTTTGTGGTTGCGTTCCACAGAGGGCCTGTCACTGCACCATCCTCACTGCCTATGCCCGACACTGCGCCCAGGAGGGCGTCACTGCCCAGTGGCGGAATCACACTTTCTGCCGTAAGTGAGGAGGCCATTTTTGAAGTGCAGTGGTAGAGAACCTTTTACTGAAGTATAAATACTAATATTACGATTATTATTAATAAGATTGCCTTTTTACAAGTAGTGAAAAGTATTCAAGTATTTTTACCAAAGTCAAAAGTACAATCATGAAAATGTGCATATTAAGTTAAAGAAAAGTATAATAAGTATATAGTAAAAGTATAGAGTAAAATGGGCTCTTTAGTGGTTATATTATTATCATTGATGGAGTATCATGTACATTGCAGTAGCTGAATGCAATTGACCCTATTATGTCTATTGTTTTTTATCATCCTCTGTAATTCCCTCGAAGCACAAGTGGCTTTCTCATAACGGGTTTATTCCTCTCCGAATCCACCGTGAAAACTTCACATAAACAAACAGTATAAATGACAAATATAGTATCGTGTTAGACACACAATAACATGCACAGCATGTGAGATGACTACACGTAATAAACGTAAAAGTAATACAAACACAATAACATACCTCTTTGGCTGCATGCTCTGAAAACAGAGGGAAGTATTCTTCAGTCCTTACAATTTATATATATAAGAATACACTTAATTAACGGAGCTGTATCCGTGCATCTTACTCTCAGTTTCTTGTCTCGTTCTCGCTCTCTAACTCACGTGAGAACAGCATAACGAGACGTGAGCTTTGACTTCAAACTAAAAGACTAAACATTGCACGCATGACATATTACAACAAATAATAATTATTACACTTAGAAAATACATATTACAGTTAAATTATGAACATGTAAAGGCTACACTTACATCCTCCTTATAGGATTTCAAATGTTTTATCTGAAAAGTAATCAGTAACGAAAGTCAAAAAATGCTAAAAAAGCATCTCAAACTTGGACTTAAGTACTGTACCTGAGTAAAAGTGCTTAATGAAAAACAATATTCCAGCATGTCCACTATGGTTATGAGTTTGTGAAAGTGTCCAAAGTTGTTCTTGCAGAATAGAAAAATGTAACAAGCTACAGTAATTTGAAGTTCCTCCTCTCCTGTCCACAGCTGTCCAGTGTTCGGGGGGGCAGGTGTACCAGGAATGTGGCCGTGCCTGTGGGGGCTGCTGTTCAGACAGCTGGAGCTGCGATGCCAGTGGGGGTGAGATGAGTCTTAAGATGTGTGTTCCTGGTTGCCAGTGCCCACCGGGACTAATGCAGGACCACCAGGGCCAGTGTGTGCCCATCACCATGTGCCCCTGTGTGCAAGGAGACAAGACATACCGGCCTGGGGCGATAATACAGAACAGCTGTAATACCTGGTATGTACTCCTGAACAACATGTGAATGGGATTCAAAATGTGTTCAAACCTGGGACTCCTTGGCCTAAATAATATCATTTTACTTTTAGCTACACAATTTCTTGACTGAAACTGCTTGCCATACTTTTAAAATATTCATAGAACCAGGTTTAACTGGAAAATATGATCAAATTTACAATAGAAAACGAATAAAAGTACAACCAAAACATAATTCTTGTTGCTGAATCCGTGTATCTACCGTCCAATTGTTTTTCTTTATTAGACACGTAAACGGAAGACCGTCTGAAAGGGTATTTTTTTTGCTTTTTACCTTACTAAATGGTCAAATGGTCATTGGAGCGAGGGGCGGGGCGAAACTCACGGAAGTGATTTCAAAACAAAAGCACTCGTTTGCTTGGAACGGTGATAATGTTATAAGGGAAACAAGGTGAATTTAGCGATCACAACGAAAACAGCCAAGACACATATTGAGCCCAGAAAATGGATGTTATTAAGGGCTGTAAATATAATAAGCCTCTGTCTAAAATAGACAACATTGTTAGGAGATGTAAACTATACAGCGATTCTGCACTGCGGTCAACTCAGCCGCATCTCCACTTTGTTTTTCAAATCAGCTGCTCT